GATCACTTGGACTCGGGAAGGGGAACATCACACACCGGGGCCTATCATGGGGAGGGGGAGGGGGGAGGGATTGCATTGGGAGTTATACCTGATGTAAAAGACAAGTTGATGGGTGCTGACGAGTTGATGGGTGCAGCACAGCAACATGGCACAAGTATATATATGTAACAAACCTGCACGTTATGCACATGTACCCTAGAACTTAAAGTATAATAATAAAAAAAACAAAAACAAAAACAAAAACAAAAAAAAAAAGAAGAGATCAGTCACCAGGGATGTCCACACACAGAGCAATGCTCATGTGAAGACGCAGTGAAAAGGCGGGTATCTCCCAACGGAGAAGAGAGGCCTCAGGAGAAACCAACCCTGCCGATACCCTGATCTTAAACTTCAAACCTGCAGAACGGTGTGAAGTGAATGCCTGCTGCTTAAACCCAACTGTTCTTGGGCATTTTTTGTGGCAGCACTAGGACACTAATAAAGCGTTCCGTAACTGATGTGCTAGGAGGAAGTATCACAGCACTGGAGAATCAGCACACACAGGGACCACTCGTTAGGGCAGTGGCAATAGGAACACGTCTTTGCGTTTTGGAAGGGCACTTACAATTCTGTAAGCATGCGTCCAGGCTTAGGATAGGGTTTGGGAGTGAAGGTGGGCGACTCACTTTGGAGTACCAAGCATGCGATTTGCAGGTGTCACCCAAGGAATGGGGGCTGTTCCTTCAGGCAGCCTGCATGGTGGGGCCTGGGCCCTCAGTGAAGAAGGATAGGGCAAGGTCCTGGCCTCCTGGAGCTTGTCCTTTGGGGGAAAAGACAGAGAGGCCACAGGGAGAGGGTACTGAGAGCAAAACCAGAAACAGAGCAGCCACGCTTAGACTCAGTATTAATGGAACAGGTACTTGTTGTTGAGAAGTGAATGCCAGTCTACATTCCCTTCACTGCCAATCAAAATCTGCTGCTTTATGGAACCTAAAGAAGGAAGGTCCCTATGAGTAGAGGGGTTTGTGTTCTGTTTTGTGACCAAGATACATACAAAAAGATCACTCAGCCCTCCTAAGCGAGAAAACACCTCCACCCGCCCAGCTTTTCGGGGAGGGTTGGCAGTTTAGAATCACGTCTCAGAGGCAGCACAGGCCCCCATGCTCCTGAGGTCGCGGGGCATGACACCAGGGAGGTGCCATCATCCACTAGGGCAGCTCAGAATGAGGAGCTTCTGGAACATCTTAACCGATTTATTTTCCCTTTTTTTTTTCTTTTCATGCTTGCGCAAGTGCAAGAGTAATGTTTGAGGCCAGGTGCAGTGGCTCACGCCTGTCATCCCAGCATTTTGGGAGGCTGAGGCGGGTGAATCACCTGAGGTCAGGAGTTTGAAACCAGCCTGACCAACATGGTGAAACCCCGTCTCTACTAAAATACAAAAATCAGCCGGGTGTGGTGGTGTGTGCCTGTAATCCCAGCTACTCAGGAGGCGGAGGCAGGAAAATCACTTGAACTCGGGAGGCAGAGGTTGCAGTGAGCTGAGATTGCACCACTGTGCTCCAGATTGGGCAACAGAGCGAGACTCTGTCTCAAAAAAAAAAAAAAAGGAATGTTTGAAAGCTCTGTCTAAATATAAGTATGAAATGAAAACTGGAAGCAATAGAAGAGCATTGGGTCATCATTGACTTGGTGGCTACTTTTTTCCTTAATGCTTTTTTACATTAATTGTGTAACAATCATGGTGATTAAATTTTGTTTCAATCTGGCTAGGTCATAATATCTAGAAATGTGGCATGTTGCTGTGAAGGTAATTTTTAGATGAGATTGATATTTCAATTAGAAGACTATTAATAAAACTGATTGCCATCCTTAATGTGGGTGAACCTCATGCAATTATTTGAACGCCCAACAAAAAAGACTGAGCTTCCCCAATGAAGAAGGAAATCAGTCTTCAGACAGCCTTCGGACTCTAGCTGCGATATCAGTTCTTCCCTGGGGTTCCAGCCTGCCCATCTGCCCTGCAGATTTCGGATGTGCTAATCCCCGCAATCATGTGAGCCAATTCCTTAAATCTCTCTAGAAAGATAGATAGAAGATAGATAGATAATGCATAGATACATACATAGACACACACACACACACACACACACACACACACACACACCCCTTACTGGTTCTGCTTCTCTGGAGAACCCCTAATGTTATAGAGACTCAAGTTCACTGCATGTGGCGGTGATCCCTGCTGTGACTTTCTGCATCTAGTGCATCTCTCCAAGCCTTAACTGAGCCTTCTATGAAACGAGGATGATGCACCATCCTTGCAGGATCCGTATGAGCATTTCAGGAGATGAAGCAGAGTGTTCATCTAGGGGCCAGGTTCGGAGAAGAAGCTTGGACACCATGCTTCCGGGAGGGCATGTGGTATGTGTGACTACATTCCTGTGCTGTCTTTCTGTGCCCTACAGGGATACATATGGGCCTGTTCCTCACTTTACAAAGAGGAGACTGAGGCCCGCAAATGTCCAAGCATGCTTGCAGTCACCCAGCTGTGGAGTGGCAGCCCGCCTGTCTCAGGTGCTGTGCTCCTAGCACCAGTGTTCTTTAAAAGAAAGAGCCAAATTTGCATTTCAGGAACCTGCAGGCCCGGGAGAGTGGCTGGGTGTGTAGCTGCACTGTGCCTCATACTCCCATGCCCCACTCTCCATGGGGAGGTGCCCTGGCACTCCAACCCACTGTTTTCACCGCCCGGAAAGATAGAAGAGATCAGCCAATCATACTGCTAGCTACACCTCTCCGATTTTCTCATCCCCCAACTCCAGTTCTCTCTCAACTCAGACCTCTTTGGAGTTTCATAAACCCACTCCTCCGGGTCAGCACTCCAGTATCCACAGTGGCTGAGACCCGTGACGAGGTCTGAACCAGGTTTTTAGGGACCGCGCAACGAAAGTGCAACCCCTGATGGTGCTAGCAACCCTGTTCAACCTTCCTGAAGACAAGGGAGGGCCTAGAGGTCTGAACCAGATTTTTAGGGACACTGGCAGAAAGTGCAGCCCCTGATGGTGCTAGCAACCCTGTTCAACCTTCCTGAGACAAGGGGGCCTAGAGTCTGAACCAGATTTTAAGGGACACACACAACGAAAGTGCAGCCCTGATGGTGCTAGCAACCCTGTTCAACCTTCCAGAAGACAAGGGCCTAGAGGTCTGAACCAGATTTTTGGGACCGCTGTGAAAGTGCAGCCTGATGAGGTGCTGTAGCCTGTTCAACCTTCCTGAAGACAAAGGGCCTAGTGGAGGAAAGCCTCAGTATCCGAAGACAAGGGCCTAGTGGAGGAAAGCCTCAATCATCCTGTGATTCCCATGACGGAGAGAGGCCAGCTGCAGAGAAATTTCCTGCATAAAAGTCTGTGTATTTCACCTGTGACCCCACATGAACCGAGTCTGTAACCCACTAACCTTTTATCCTAGGATCGAATGAGCAGGCAGATCTGAATTGTCTGCATTTCTTTAAAGCCCAAGTTACTTTCTTCAAAGGATAGTCTCATTTGTAATATTAAAAGCATAATGAGAATAACTAGGTTTTATTATTTAAAAGATTTATAGCCGCAATAATCTTATTTTCATTTTTATAGATCTCTATTCAAAATCAGACCAATGACTAAACTCTGGAGAATAAAGGAAATGACCTGTTATTTTACTTAAGATAAATACATTGACTTTTATTTTTAAATTCAATCTTGAGTAAATTAATTCATATATCTGGGTTGATTGTAAACCCCAGGAGAAACAGTAACTTTGTATTTATTTGCAACTTAAGTTCGGCTCTCATCTTATGAGCGCTCACTGGAGAAGCCCAAGCGGGCCCAGTAGGGAAGGAGCATGCCCCAGACAGTGGGCTGGGGAGGCGAAGTCGATGAAGTGATTCTCTGATTTCTATCACTCAAATGTAAGTTCCATGAAGTTAGGATTTTTTTTTTTTTTCATTACTCTATTCCTGGCCTTTAGAACAAGGCCAGCCAGCACTTGTAGGTGCTTAATTAATATTAGTTGAATGAATGAATCAGTTAGACATTTACTAATTTGTGACTTTCTCCCACCCTTCCGCCCCCCGATATTATACCATTGATGCTTGGTACTTAACAAAAATAGGAAGTGACAGATTTATATTTGAATATTTGAATGTATCATTGAGATTGTCACACTGCTTTCTGCTTCGTGTGATAGGGACATTAAATCATCTCTTTTGAGAAATAACCGTCAATGTAAAGAGGAAAACTTTGCCAGATATTAAGGCATACTGCAAACCTATAGTGATTGGAAATTGTGGTCCTGATGTAAATACAGACGAATGGGCCCATAGCACAGAACAGGGAGCTTAGAGACAGATATTTGTGTAACTGAGGTTTAATACATGTTAAGGTAGAACCACGTATCCACAGGGTAAGCTTCTATTAGGGAAAAGTTTCCATGTAGAAAAATGAATCTAGATCCATACCAAACACCACGTGAAGGTTAAAAATAGAGGCTTAAATGTGAAAGATAAAACTATAATGTTAATCAAAGAAGGCTTGGATGTAGAAGAGTTTTTAAAATTAAACTTCGAAAGCCCAAACTATAAGGCAAAAATAATTAATTTGATCAAATTAAGAATTTCTGATCAACATAGGCTTCCTTGGTAGCATCAACAGACAGATGACAGCTTGGGAGACCAAGGCACGATGTACAAGGAACTCTTCAAATCAGCAGCAACCAAGAAGAGCCTACATGGAAAAATGGCCAAAGGTTATAATCAGGCATTTTACAGAACAGGAAAGTCACAGGGCTAAAAAGCAAAAGAAAAGACGCTCCAAGTCATTTTTAATCAGAGAAGTGTGGACTGCAAAGCAATCAAATGGTCTTTTATGAGTGACAGGACAATGGGACATCTACTTCCATTAAGCCTTCCACTGGTGGCTCTAGCTACAAACCCAGAAGGACTTAAGAAAATGGCACCTTCGCCCTGGTTGAGCCGGGTCCTCGCGCCGGGTCCTCGCGCCGCGCCATGTGGGCTGCGGCGGGCGGGCTGTGGGGCTCCCGCGCGGGTCTCCGAGGCCTGCTCCGTAGCTGCGAGGCTGCGCTCCTTCCAGGCTGCGCGCGGGGAGTGCACGGCTCTGCTGTCTCCTGCAAGAACTGGCTCAAGAAATTTGCCTCGAAAACCAAAAAAAGTTTTGGTATGAAGGTCCTTCCTTGGGCTCTCACTTGACTTACAAACCATCCAAGTTGGAATTCCTCATGAAGACCACCTCAAAGAAAACCAGGAAGGAAGACCATGTGCGCGTGAGGGCCCTGAACGGTCTCCTCTATAAGGCACTGACAGACCTGCTGTGCACCCAGGAAGTGAGTCAGGAGCTGTATGACCTTAACGTGGAGCTCTCCAAGGTTTCCCTGACTCCAGACTTCTCAGCCTGCCGAGTGTACTGGAAGACAACGCTCTCTGCCGAGCAGAACGCACACATGGAGGCTGTCCTGCAGAGAAGTGCCGCGTCCATGAGGCACCTTTTGATGTCCCAGCAGACCCTGAGGAATATGCCACCTATAGTGTTTGTTAAAGACAGGAAAAGTGCAGCTCTCGCTGAGCTTGACAAGTTACTGGCAGTCGCAGACTTTGGACCCCGGGATGAAAGAGACGACTTTGTACAAAATGATTTCAGGGACGCCGATGCCCCGCAACCCTGCGGCACCACAGAGCCGGCCAGGAGCTCCAGCGTGTGTGGTATCAATCATGAGGCGCTCAGCAAGCAGATTATGGAGTACAAGAGGAGCAAGGATAAAGGGCTCGGGGGCCTGGTGTGGCAGGGGCAGGTGGCTGAGCTGACAACGCAGATGAAGAAGGGAAGGAAGAGGGCCAAGCCCCGCCTGGAGCAGGACAGCTCCCTCAAGAGTTACCTGTAGGGCGAGGAGGTGGAAGATGACCCGGACCTGGTTGGTGCCCCAGAGTACAAATGCTACGCCCTGGACACGGAGGAGTTGGAGGCAGAAGAGGAGCTGGCACAACGGAGGATGGCCACGGCTGCAATGCAAGCAGGGAGTAGATGGAGAGGCGTCAGCTCTGCCCGTCCCACATTCACAGGGAAAAGCATTGGCACGTGCCGCAGCATGTAGCTTTGTTGAGGCAGTTGATGGGGTTAAAACCATCTGCTCTTCTGTTACGTCGACGTTTTCTAGCTTTTCCGTGTATCTAAACACAGTTTGCTACAGAAGTCACTGCTGTTTTTTTTCCCATACACTGTGTGTAATGTAAAAAATAAATGGCCATCTTACCACAGATTCTCACAAAAAAAAAAAGAAAAAAAAGAAAATGGCACCTTCGTACCCCTTCCAGTATTGTAATTTAAGGATGACGGAGAATGAGAAGGAAACATATATTTTTGGTTTGTAGAAGGAGACATACAAAATAAGTAGAAGAAGTGCTTTCTAAGAAGGTACCAATGGACCATAGAGGAGGGATGGAGGACTCTGTGAGGAGAGAGGACACAGGGAGACCAGGTTGAGACAGGAAGTGCCCCTGTGACCTGATGGGAAGCCATGGAGGCTGAAGGGAAAGGCCGTGATGCTCTTGGACACAGTGTGGGGTTCTCTTTCACTGGGGTCAGATAACCCAGGAGCATCAGTTATTACCAGGCCAGAATCAGCCCAGAGGGTAGGAACTGAAGAGGCCAGAGACTCCTGATGCTGATGTAGGCAGGGGCAGGGAGAGCAGGTTCTGCCCTGTTATCAGAAAGGACATTCCTACTGCTTCCAGGGGAGGTGCACAGGGGGTTGGGAAGCTGGAGGGAGAAGCATGGTGCATAGTCTCCTGAGTGCTGTGTGTGCGGTGGTGGCACGGGGTGAATCAGTTTGGGGGTCATTTCCTGTGCCCACGTGCCATCTGTTGATTGGTGTTTGGTGTGAGGCACGTGGTGTCTCCCGGGGCTGGCGGTGAGGAGGATGAGCGTCTGCATGGCAGTGTGGCAGGACTGCTTAGAATCCCCAGGCATACTAGGCACGGGGGCAGCCTGCCACTAGCCTGTGTCCCTCCCAGCCTGGGGGCTGCACAGAAGAGCTCCCTGAGGACAGCCCCTCAACCCAGCCCTTGGGTCCCACTGAGGCCAGTCACTGTTCCCTGAGGTGTAGAGGTGAACACAGAGTGGAGGACTGTGCTCAGAAGCCAGTGGGGGATGGCAGAACACACATCTGCCTAAAGAAGAATTTTATCTGGTGGTGGTCACTGTTGTGCAGAGAATGCTGTGAGAGAGACTGAGGGCTGCCTCAGACTGAGGAGTCAGCAAGGGTCCCAGAGGAGAAGAAAGTCAAGGTGCAACCTGAAGAAAGGTGGGGGCCAGACAGAGGGAATAGTGGACAAAAGAAGCTCCAGGTTAGGACTGCGTGTGGCCCAGTGCAGGATGAACAGGCTGGCCCAAGTCAGGGAGTGCGGGGAGAGGGGAGGGCAAGGGATGCCATGGAGAGGGCAGCCGGACTGGAGTAGGTGGAGGTCCTGTGAACCTGGCCATGGAGTTTGGGTTTTGGCCCAAATGTGATGGGAAGTCATTGGGAGGTTTTAAACTGGAGGTGATGGAATCTGGTTTCTGTGTTAAAAAATGACCCTTCCTGCTGGGTGGAGAATGGAATGTAGTCAGGGGTATCAGTCAGGTGACACATGCAGGCAGCCAGGCAAGAGGTGTTATGAAGCAGATAAGGTGGTGGTAGGGAGATGAGAAGAGGTGGAGGGAATTGAGACATATTCCGGATTTGCCTGTTGATTGCACATGGTTGCTGAGGAGAGGACAAGAAATGAGGAGGGCTATGATTTTTGGCTTAAGAAACTGGGTGGGTGCTGAGAAGAAGGAAGTTGGAGAGGGAGTGGTGGTCGGAAGTCAAGAGTCCTGGTTGGGTAGTACTTGGTTTGCAGTGAGTAGGCATGTGAAGTGGAGAACTCGGTTAGGACTGAGTGTCTGCTCTATATCATCCAGGTGCTATTTAGAGCCTTGATGGGAGTGCATTTGGGGAGGGCATAAATGGAGATGATGCAATCCAGGCTGAGCCTTGCACTCCATGACATTTGTCAACAGGGTCTGAGGAGCAGCCAGTGATGAAGGAGGAGGACCAGGAGAGGTTGGGGTGTCAGGACAGCCAAGGGAAGGCCATGTTTCAGAAGGAGGGAGGGGGCCAGCTGGATGGAATTCTCTTGAAGGCTAATTAATATAAAATACACTTCATGAATGATCCTAGAAACCCACATCAACACAAAGGCCCGCCAGCACAAAGCTGCATAGAAAGCCTCTTAGATGCTGGGGTTGGTCCGGGACGTGTTGTACCGTACTCATTCATTGTGTGCCTGTGTCACATGCATCCCTTCAGTTGAGCTTTCCCTATTCTACAACTAGAAGCAGAGATGTGGGCATTTCATTGACCCTCCTACTCAAAAGAGGGACACAGCAAGAGAACCAAAATAGAAGGTGGGATGATAGAATACAAAATTTAAAGAATCCCAGAGGAATCATCAACCCACTTCATATATTTAACAACAACAAAAAAAATTCCTAGGGACCAAGCAACTCCCTTAAGATGACTGTTAGTTGTGCTGGGCATGGTGGCTCATGCCTGTAATCCCAGCACTTTGGGAGGCCGAGGCAGACAGATCATGAGGTCAAGAGATCGAGACCATTCTGACCAATGTGGTGAAACCCTATCTCTACTAAAAATACAAAAATTAGCTGGGGGTGGTGGCACACACCTGTAGTCCCAGCTACTGGGGAGGCTGAGGCAGGAGAATTGCTTGAACTTGGGAGGCAGAGGTTGTAGTGAGCCGAGATCGAGCCACTGGACTCCAGCCTGGTGGCAGAGCAAGATGCTGTCTCAATAGAATAGAATAGAATAGAATAGAATAGAATAGAATAGAATAGAATAAAAACTGTTAGGTGTAGGTCAGGACTAAAACTCAAGACTTGCACCTCACAGTCCATTATTTTCTTTTTTTTTTTTTTCCCAATCAAAACACAATTTATTTTTTCATTTCCTTCTATTTCTTTTTTTGTTTTATTTTTTTAATTTATTTATTATACTTTAAGTTCTAGGGTACATGTGGATAACGTGCAGATTTGTTACATATGTATACCTGTGCCATGTTGGCGTGCTGTACTCATCAACTAGTCAGCACCCATCAACTCGTCATTTACATCAGGTATAACTCCCAATGCAATCCCTCCCCCCTCCCCCCTCCCCATGATAGGCCCCGGTGTGTGATGTTCCCCTTCCCGAGTCCAAGTGATCTCATTGTTCAGTTCCCGCCTATGAGTGAGAACATGCGGTGTTTGGTTTTCTGTTCTTGTGATAGTTTGCTGAGAATGATGGTTTCCAGCTGCATCCATGTCCCTACAAAGGACACAAACTCATCCTTTTTTATGGCTGCATAGTATTCCATGGTGTATATGTGCCACATTTTCTTAATCCAGTCTGTCACTGATGGACATTTGGGTTGATTCCAAGTCTTTGCTATTGTGAATAGTGCTGCAATAAACATACGTGTGCATGTGTCTTTATAGCAGCATGATTTATAATCCTTTGGGTATATACCCAGTAATGGGATGGCTGGGTCATATGGTACTTCTAGTTCTAGATCCTTGAGGAATCGCCATACTGTTTTCCATAATGGTTGAACTAGTTTACAATCCCACCAACAGTGTAAAAGTGTTCCTATTTCTCCACATCCTCTCCAGCACCTGTTGTTTCCTGACTTTTTAATAATTGCCATTCTAACTGGTGTGAGATGGTATCTCATTGTGGTTTTGATTTGCATTTCTCTGATGGCCAGTGATGATGAGCATTTTTTCATGTGTCTGTTGGCTGCCTAAATGTCTTCTTTTGAGAACTATCTGTTCATATCCTTTGCCCACTATTTTCTACCATGAATACTCTGGAAAAATGTCATTTCCCTAGGTGTCTCCATTGTCAAGTTCTCATCCTAACCTTAAAAGGGGACCTCAGCCTGTGACTCTGTGTCTCTCAGGCAGTTCCATAAAGGGGGCACCCTCTCCTGCATGTTCTGGGGCCCATCATGAGGCAGCATCTATAGCCACCAGGGCTGTCATTCATGGATTGAGGGCCAGAGGCCCCAGAGGGGGTCTTCAGGGCACAAGAGGTGGCTACATTTTCTGAGTTGTTTCCATGATATTGGCTGGAGGGGGACAGCTCATGAGTGGGTGCAGAACAAGGTCACAGGCCAGGTTCACACCCAGAAATTCCACCCCAGGTTGGACTTGGGCCCTCCCCACACACCAGTCTTCAGGGAGCTGTTTTGTTTTCTCTGTTAAGGGCATCTATTTAATCTCTTTCTCTTTTTCTCCTTCCTTCCTCTTCTTTTTTATTTATCCTGTCTCTTGATACAACAATTCTAGTCTTTGAATCACAACACCTGGGTTCCAGATGTGGCCTCTCCTTTGCGGGCCTCACTGTTCTCGTAACATGAAGGCTTTGAGCTACATCAGGGCAGACGTTCTCCAAGTGTGGCCCCTAGGCCTGCAGCATCAGCATCAGCTGCGAACTTGTTGGAAGTGCATGTTGTTGGCTCTTGGGGCCTCCCCAGCCCCACTGAATCAGAGTCTCTGGGGGTGGCCCTGCTGCCTAGAGTTTACAGGCGCTGCAGGGATCCTAATGTCATGTGGGAGCCATGACGTAAAAGGTCTCTGGTTGCTGTTGTTCCTGACACATCTAGGAAGTGTGATGTACTCCCGTCAACGTGACTTTATAGGGTGGTGGTGGCTCCACTTGGTAGAACCTGGAGATGGACTTGGCCTTGTGGAGTTTAGGTTGTATCCTCTTCCTTCTCCCAGCTGTTGAGGATCCTGAGGCTTGCTAGGCGCTATTCAGTCAGTCTCCCCACTCTGGCACCCTCTACCTCTAACTGCGTCAACAGTGGCAGTGAAGGGAGCTGGCGGGCAGGGCCAGGCTGGTGGGTTAAAATGCAGCACTGGCTCATTTTGTATTTTTGGTAGAGAGAGGGTTTCTCCATGTTGGCCAGGCTGGTCTTGAACTCCTGACCTCAGCAGGAGAAATTGCTTGAACCCGGGAGGCGGAGGTTGCAGTGAGCAGAGATCGCGACACTGCACTCTAGCCCGGGCAACAAGAGCGAAACTTGGTCTCAAAAAAAAAAAAAAAAAAGGCAGCATTGGATTTCCACAGTTCTACCTCTCCCCTCCCAGGAACTGCAGTTTTTCTTGCAGAGATAGATATGTTTCTTTTGAATGTGCCATGCTGCTGAGATCGGAATTAAGCCATGAGCGAAGAAGCCCAGACCGTATGAGTGGCGTGATGTTGAGCCTCAACAGCACTGAACTGGACGGGAAGAATTTCAGTTTTGGGAAACGTAATCATGGAGGAGTGAAGTGCGTTGCCCTTTTCATGTCAGAACATTCATGTGAAAATTATCTGGCTTCAGTTTTTGTTTCTAAAATTAACCTTTGGTATTAGAAACATTTACAACGTTAAAATCTGGGGGATTGCTTTCAGACATCTTGGATTACTTTCAGATGATTGCATTTCTTGGGGAACACCACAGTGGGAGAGGGACCAGAAATATTCCCATCTGATTGAACAGAGGCTGGATGTGACCAGCCCAGCAGTTTCTCCTGGTTTCTACCCTGCATGAGAAAAGTGTGGGCTTGGAGGAGATGCTCAGTCAGTGTTGCTTAGAGTGACTGCTAGAAGATATTCTGTGTCTATTACGTAGTACTTACAATGGTGTATCTCCCCTCAGGATATAAAAAAAATTGAAATTTATTTCCAGCTTCTTCAAGACTTCAGTGATGCCAGAGATCTAACTGGGTGTAAGATTATGATAATGGCTGTAGGACAACAATCCAGAGAAACTGAAGATAGAATGGGATCTAGAGTTTGGGTCCTGGCCTTTAGTAATCCTCTGGCCTTGGAAAAGTCACTGCACCTCCTTGAGCCTCAGCCTATTCATATGCAAAATGAACATTAAAAATAAACCCTTCCCATGAAGGATGGAGCAATTAAGATTATGTGAGTAAGCTCTTTCTAAACTACTAAGAGCTCTGAAATAACTACGGTATGCTGTGGATAGCTTTGGGGTACCTTTCTCAGTGTCTCTGTTCTAAGGGTGCCCTTTTCCTCCTCCATTCACATTGCTGCAATGTTTATAAAAAGGGGCCTGGCCCGTCCACCTCCTGCGGCTACCACCCAATGGTGGGTACCCTACCCACACTGGGGCCAACGCAATCCCCACCTGCCACTATGGGTGATTGGCCAAGGGGGGATGCTTGAGAGGGGTAGTGCATTCTTTCATGGGAATGTGCAAATGCCTTCCCAGAAGAGTCCTTTATCCTTGAGTGGGTTAACCTGTATCATCGAAACTAGGCTGTTCTCTTTGCCCATCAATAGCCATTTGGAATGAAAACAAGAAAAGGGATGAGAATGAGGAAAGGACCATCTGAAGACGTGGCAAACATGGCCATGGTTCCTGCCCAGTCATGAAGCCCACATCTATTCTGGCCCTTGGAGTGTCTGGCCTTCCGTTGTTTGCTTATGCTAACTTGTGGGTTCCTGTGGTTTGTAGCCCAAAGAGTC